CTCTTCTCCTCTATCTCTTCCTTCTCTTTCTTTTCCTCTTCCTCCTTCTCCTCTTCCTCCTCCTCCTCCTCCTCTTCCTCCTCTTCCTCTTCCTCCTCCTGTGAATCAAGTTCAGCTTTGGAAATGTTACTAGGACGCACTAACCAAGTACATCTGTCATATAGGAATTTACCCGTCATCTGAAATAAATTATAGACCAGATTAAAGTCTTTTAACTTTCAAATGTACATATCTATTTACACAAATGCATGTAAACAATATATGTGATGATCATGGAGACCATGTCATAATAAAGATTGTATTATATTAGAAAATTGAGATAATCCAAAGATTAACATAGTTGGTTAAAAATGAAATTCAACAGAATTTTACAGAGGAGGCACAGGACCAAAAAATGTAGACTAAGAGTAAAAATAATTTCCCTAATGTGACTAGCATATCTACCAAACTATATTAACTATATGTTAGAAGCATTTCTTGTAAATTCAAGAACAGTGAGACTAAATGTGCTATGCAGATTAGTGTCTGTAGAGTAGCCTATGAAGAAGAAAACTCAACTGAGAAATTGTCCCCATCAGACTGGCACATGCACATGGGCAAGTCTGTGGAAGATTTTCATGATTAATGACTGATATGGGAGGGCCCAGCTCACTGTGGGCGATGCCATCTCTGGGCAGCGGTTCTTAGGTTGTGTTAGGAAGCTAGCTGAGACAGCCATGGAGGGAGCCCACTTGCAGTGTTCCTGCCTCTGCCCCTGCTTCAGTTCCTGCTCGGACTTCTCTCCACGGTAGACTTTGATCAGAAAATGAAAGCCAAGTAAGCTCTGTCCACCACCAGCTGCTTTTGATCACGTGTATATCCCAGCACAGAGAGACAAAGTATAAAGAGCAGGTACTGGACGAGGCAACGGTGTTTGTCCATGCGCGCAAAGCATATTCAGTTGACTTCCTGCTCAGTCCAGCGCCACCTAGATGGAGTCTGAGTCACTTCAGCAGTTCTAGACGGCCCTTAACCTCCCAACTAAAGTTCCTGCCTAAAGAGCCCTGCCTGGCTCTCTTAGATGGTTCTATTCTGCCTGTAGCTGGAAGATTGAGCTTATGTGAATGTGAGGGGAATGGAGGGACTTCTTTTGTCTAAGCACGGCAGCAGCTTTCTGCCTTAGTATACACTTTCTGTTTTTCTTTTTTTATCAATCATTTTATCTGTTTATATTTCAAATGATATTCTCCTTCCCAGTAACCCTTCCACCAACCCCCCATCCCATCCCCCCTCTTTCCCCACCCCTTTGCTACTATGAAGGTGCTCTTCCACCCATTCACCCACTCCCGCCTCACCCCTCTAGCTTCCCCCTACACTGGGCATCAGGCCTCCCTCCCCTCCCATTGATGTCAGCTAAGGCCATCCTCTGCTACACATGTATCTGGCGTCCTGGCTCCCTCCATGTCTACTCTGACTTTCTAGGGATCTCAGCTTTAATTTCACTTGCTGCTGTTCTCCTGCCTTGCGTCATTCTGCCCCACAACTTACTCTGGTACTTAGGACATCAGCCAGGCTTCTACCTCAGAGCCTTGGCACAGTTGTTTCTTCTGCTTTGGTCACTCTTCACAAAGACATAATGTAGCACAAAGATGTTACTACATTGTGTTCTTAGACCTTTTCCACACGTCTGTTTCTCCATTACTTCTTTTTTATTTAAATTAGAAATTATTTCCTAATTCCCTTAGCTCTCACTGCCTATGCTTCTGATCTTCTCGGTAACATTTTTATCTTCATTGTACTATATTTTGTTTCATTTTCTCTTTTTTCTGAGTATAGATATTTGTATTTACTTTGTCAAATTCTATATCCTCATCACCTCTAGCCACCTAGCAAAGGTATTGATTAATATATATTAGCTTAATGAAAAAACACTTCAAAGTAGGTGTTTTTAGACAGAAAATATTAGCAGAGCACAAGAAGAAATAAATTTGTTACATAGGTCTCAGTTTTTCATAACCTGAAATATTATACTTTACATTTGATACGCATTTTTCTCAATGGATGCAAGTTTCTGTTGTGTCATTATCTCTCTCTTTCTTCGTATTTTATACCACAAATTAAATTTTAAAATGCCAAAGAAAATTGAAGTATAGATTAAAAGGTTAAGATCTTTATCTATTTTATAAATATTTAAAATCATAAATTACAACAGTATGTTATCACACCTGCTGGTGGATAAACATTTAAATCCAGTTTCAAAATAAATTTTAAGACTAAAGACTTTACAAAAAATAAGAAAAAGGAAAAATATGTGAATATTTCATTGTGGGAAGTGTAGTCAACTTGAAAAATACAGAATTGCATAAAGAAATCATACAGGATTAAGTAGGTCTAAAGGAATCTTCAATACAGTTAAATATACATCATAAGTACACATGTAGTAGAAAGTTCTATTCTTATTTTAGAACAATTGTTTGTCTCTCACTTTCTGAATCTCAGAGTAATACTAAATCCAAAGCTCATTAGCAAAGAAAATAAGTTCAGTACATATTATGTTTTATTATTGTTTTTGCCTCAAGTGTGTGGCAAAAGTTTTTATTTTGAAGTTGTTTCAGATTTACTGTAATAAAAGAACAGTTTGCCAGACAACTCCTTCTAAAATTTTAAATTAAAATATAATTATATTTTCTCCCTTTCCTCTTCTCACTCCACCCCCCTCTCACACACCCTACACTTTGTTTTGTCTCAGAAACATGGCTTCTTCTTTTAACAGTTATTGGTGTGTATGTGTCTGTGTATGTGTCTGTATGTGTGTGTGTCCGTGTGTCCGTGTGTCCGTGTGTGTGTGTGTGTGTATAATTACAGCCTGCTCAGTCTGTTTGGTGTTGCTTGTATGTCTTGATTTCAGGGATGAGCACTTGGTATTGGATAGCCAGTAAGGCGGGGAGCTCTTCCCCGGGGAAGACTATTTCTCCTGCTCTCATTGGTCACCTTTCTGTTTTTATCTTTGGTTGGGGCACCATGAGATTTTTCCCTTCAGTGTCATCATGGCTATGTGTGGAGTACTTCTTCAGGTCGTTTCTAAACAGCTATTATGTCTAGATATCATGGATAAAGTTCCCTTGGGTCAGAAAACTTTTGATGTTCATCATTTTGTCAATATTCCCTTGATGCTTCTACCTTCATTCTTTTTCTTTCATATTTTCCCTTTAGTTACAGCATAATATATCTGAAATAAGCCCATATCCTTATTACTCTATCTCATGAAAAAAAATTTTATTCTACACCTGAAATTATTTACTTTGCCTTTGAACTTCCATGGGTCATTTTGTCTTTAATTTTTGACACTTAATCATGTAATTATAAAATTAATTGAAACAGATGATCATAATAGAATAAAAGCTGACTTGATACTTATGTTATTTATTCTCATGAGTCATAATTTTTGTCTTTACTATGAGACAAAATGTTTGGTTTTATGAGCTAAAAAATAAAAACAGATAAACTGTAATGATAATCATTTATTCTCTCCAAATAAAAGTTAAAGGAGATATGTCACAAAGTTTTCACATAATTTTAAAAACGCGATAGGCAGATTAGTTTGTCATATAACACGTGGTAGAATGAACATGACAATTCAGGACAACTGTCACTTTACCAGTGGGCACCACATCAGATTTCAGATATTCTTGCCTTTGTGTATTTGTAATTTATACATATGTATATATTTACATTTTCATTTGAGTGAGTAGAGGCATAACCATGCCATGGCATGCCTGTGGAATTTTGAGGACATCAGGTGTCAGTCCTCCTTTCCCACTTGATTTGAGACGAGCTAGCCTGACCACAGGCGTCGAGGCATTCTCCTGTTTCCACATCCACTGTGCCAGAGGAGAACTGCGATTACAGACATGTGACTGTTGCTGGTGATGCAAACTCAGGGCCTCAATTATACAGCATATAATTTTGTCTCCCACGCCATCTCCTCAACCACCCAGAATTTATCTGAAACAAAGCAATCAGCTAGGTTACACCTCAAATATCTTGATTCTTTTTTGTGGCTAGTTTATTTAATTTGTAAATGTCCTAACAGTATTTTGTATGCATGGGCTGTGTACAGTCAATTTTATGTTTTTATATAAACATTATGTAACCTAAATCAACACCAAGAGTCTGGTAAGACTCTTTTCAAAAAATTTGTATATTAGTACAAGGAAGTACTGATACAGATGATATAATTGAGGTCCTAGTATGAAGTATCAGTATGGATTATAGCTGCATTTTGATTATGCCATGGAAACTAATCATTTTTATTCATTATGGCAAGTAGCCATTTATCAAGTTGTCTACAAAGGGTGTTGTCCACATTATTAATCAATACATACATGTATTGGTTATTACTCAAATATACCATTTTTTAAAAATAGACAAAATAAAGAATAACTTTTCATTTCTTTACCGATCCATGGATTTGATGTTTTATTGCTTTAGCAAATTTCCCATCTAACATCATGTCATTTGTACCATATTATATTATAGTGTCTATAGTTACTATGTAAAATGTTTTAAATAAATAAAAAATCTGGATTGCCCCTTAACACATTTTTATTTTTAAAAGATTAATAAAAGTTGGCCATAGACTACATTATTATGGTTTATTAAAAATTCAATGTGAATTTAGATGCATGCTTTTAACTCAGCAGTTGGCGTGTAACTAAAAATATTTGGCCAGTGGGTAGAATAATTCGAATATAGTGTGACCTTAATTTTACAAAACTAAATGTTTTCAGTATAATATCTATAATAAGACTAATTGAAAATTGTAACTAACAAAGTTAACAAAGTTAATAGTGTTATTTTGTTTGTATGCAACTGTATTTTTCCCTCCATTGTCATTGCTAAAAACAAACCCCTTGTCTTTGAGAGAATACAGTGGTGTTATTTACATTAATTCATATGGCTTGGTTTAAAAAAAAAAAAAGCTAACTCCTTTACTTAATGGGATTCTTCCCTTGTGGCAGTGCAAACGGCTGCACCAGGAGCTTCGTCGTCTGAAAGAGCAGAACCAGACTTCAGCAAACACCGCGAGACACCCGACTGCTGAAAACAATCAGGAACGTGCTCTGAAGGTAAATGGCTGCTCCTTCTTGCAGGCAAATTAAGGTTGTAAGCCCTCGGTGCCAGCCTTCTGTGCTGCATATATCGGTTGTGTACATTTCAGCAAACGTGAGCTGTGCTGTTTGCCAACAACCTCCTCTTTAAACACAGATACAGCACCCTTCTGGTATGGTATTACTTTATTTCATGTATGTGTACATGAAAAAAACATATTTCTGTATTTTGAGTGGTTGTATATTAATAACCTCTGGTACATACTCATTTTCTTTCTGTTTTTATGTTATTAGCTTTTATACTTAATAAAAAGAGTGACCATCCCAAAAGAAATAATAAATCATCAGCCTTTTCTTTGTAGCAACATGTAATATAATTTATTATCATAATTTATAACGTGTTGTTGTATCTGTCACCCAGAGAACTGACACTGCTTCAAGGACGTGTGCATGTGCTTAGAAACTGAAGGAATATGGAAAATGCTAAAACAAAAGAAAAGAAATGCATTGTATTCAACTAGAAACAAGTGACAGGTCCAATTGATGACACATTCTATCTCATTGTAATACCGAGCCAGTCGTCATGAGAAAAACACATTCTGTGACTCTTACTGTTGGGTGCTCTGCTCAGGACTTTCCATTATTCCTTCAAGTTCCTTCAGTTTTTAGTAGAGTGTCTTGGAAACACTCATTGCTGCTTGCAAGGGGCTTGTATACTCATTAACGAGCTTAGGCTGTGCCGAACAAAAAATGTCATCTTGTTGTTGTGCAGTAAGAGATTTGCTAGGATTGTATTATAGTTACTTCCCTTAAATTCATTTTTATCTTAAATTTAAATAAATATCATGGTATTAAAAGTATCATACACTAAACCAAAACTGAGAAAACATCCTCTAAAAACTGAGTAGAGGCTGTGGTGGTGGCTCAGTTGGTAATACGTTGCTATACAAGTATAGGGACTTGAGTTAGATACCTAGCGCCCACATGAAACACTTGGCAATAGAATGTGCATCTGTGACCCTGACACGGAGAACAGAGACCAATGGGCGCTTGGTGCTTTCTGGTTAGCCACGGTAGTCAAGTCCATGAGCCACAGGTTCAGAGACAGCCTGTCTCCAGGAAGGAGATAGAGAGTAACTAAAAGGACACCTGATTGACCTCCACATGAACACCATACAAGACCAGGCATCTACACAGGCCAACACACACACACACACACACACACACACACACACACACACACAGAGTTATATAACAACAAAGGCAAACATCCACACAAGAACATACATCTGCACATGAAAACACTCATATAGGCACACACACACACACACACGGAGTCATATACCTACACAGGTATACACCTACACAGTCACATACCTACACAGGTATACACCTACACAGTCATATACCTACACAGGTATACACCTACACAGTCA